AGCTCGGGAGAAAAGGAGCAACTAATTCTCTTTCGTCGCAGCGAGGGAGAACTTTGGGGAATTTCTTTCTCTGTTAAATCAGAAGCCGTGGCATTATCTTCGTCTCGACCAGGATTGTCGATGCCTACGAGCCCAGCCTTGAAAGCTTCTACTCCTTCTTCCCTGTAGCAGACTTCGCCTCGACGATGGACTCTTCTCAGAAACATTCTTCTTCACAGCTGGGCTCCCTCGCACACAAGGTACTAAGGGAGGGTTCTTGGGTCTCACGTGAGGACAGAAATTAATCAAGCCAGCGTCAAGCTTGGCTGGAAGCTTAGGTATAACATGCGACCCCTTCCGTGTGAAAGCAGATGATTAAATTTTGCCTGGAGTACGTCCACCCTGATAGATTTATTCTTTGGAGGTTAAAATTTGTAAGTGCTTTAACAGGTGCTCAATATGAGAGGGGAGGAAAGGAGTACAGAAAACGGTAGGGTAGGTCCGTTAAAAGCTGAAAGGGAGTTGAGCAACTCCCCTTAAGTCCCTATCGGCTGGCATCCTGTCCTCTTCACCAATATCCATGGCAAATTTGTCTCACCTTCATGAGGCTGGATTTTAGATCGATACGACATGAAATTGTCATACTTTATCTCAAAGGATGGATGAGAAGCTCTGGGTGGTTACTTCCTCTTTCGCCCAAGAGCAGGGCTTTCCAACACAATTTGAGGTCACAAAGATCATATTTGGGGTCGCGAACCGGCAACTATGTGCCAAGTTATGTTTTTCTTTGCGATTTAAGTGCATAGGTGGGATTCGGCCAGTGCTTGGGGTCCTGAATGGTATGATCGTGATTTTTGGGGCCGCGCGTGAAAAAGGGCTGGGAAGCCCTGCCCTAGAGGAACCTCATCCACGCATTCCGATTGATAAGAATCACAAGATGTGATTTAATCTTTGACCTTGGCACGGTTGAGGCGAAAGTGCATTGGGGGCGACTTTCCATACGTGATTTTCATGACTGATAATTTCAACCCTTAGCATTGTCTCGCAATTTTTATCTTTCAATTTCGTTCGTCCACCCTGTACAAGATACTGAGAAAGACTTGGAGTTGATAGAAATTTCTGGGGAACTATTCCAGAAGGGATTCGTTTACAGATCCCACTGGAAACGCGGGAGCCGGAGTTGCAGATGGACATGGTGGAGACTGGGGCTATCAGCATGGGGAAGCAAGGGAAATACAGGGTCTTAGAGGCCTTATAAACTGTCTTCACAACCGATTTCTGGCAAATGGAATTGATTTGGAAAAATGGATGGATTGATCCATTGTCATGTGGTGTCGCATGAGCAGACTATATTTGAGAGCAGTTAGTTCCGACGCTTTTTTTCTGCTTCGTTTCGTTTCGTTTCGTTTAAGCTGATATGTGTATACATCACCTTGGTATAACCACCTTATAAGTGCGAGTCTCGCGATGTAAAACTGTTTGAAATTCGCCCCTGTGCACTCTCGCCTCCGTTCATCAAGATGATATATATATGGACAAATTTTCAAACTGTCAATAACATCTTGGGGGTCAAAATCCACGTCGAAATTGGAAGAGTGCAAAGGGTGCACCCTTTGGACGCCATTCTCGGATGGCCCCCTTACTTTTCCAAATACGAATACTTTCCTTGGAAAAAAAACTGAGTTTTGGGAGCTGGGGATCGCTGTTTCTAAGTACATTTTCCTGTTCCATGCTAACTAATAATCTCAGCGTCGTAGAGAACCACTTCCAGATGTGAAAAACTCAAAATTTCCTGCGCCAATCCAGCCTTGTGATCCCCGCAGAAACTATCCGAGAAACCCAGAATCGTCATCGAAAGCCGCGAGAGCTTGGAAGCCAGGGGACGGGTGGAAGTCGTCAGTCCAGGAAAGAAAGAGTTTGAGGCTTTATCCGTACCCGTTGAAAACGAGAAGCCCGCTCGAGTCCCCGACGTCCCCAACGGGGGTTACGGTTGGGTCATCGTCTTCACAGCCTTCGCTACAAATGCCATCATCGATGGGATTGCGCGTTCCTTTGGAGTCTTCCTTCCGGCCTTGGCTCTTGATTTCCGCGAGACCAGGGGCAAAACTGCGTGGGTTGGAAGCCTTCTCGCGGGATTCTATCTCACTGTCGGTGAGGCTTCTGCCCTTATCACTTTTTTTTTTAAGCCAGCCAATTCGATTAGATTGTGATTAATCTAATAAAATTTATATGCAAAATATATCAAGTCTCCTCTCCGAGAGATAATTTGGATTGGATGTTTTCCATCCATAGTCGATATCCATATGGTGTCTAGAAATTGAAACTATTGATCGATCGGATGATGTGGTATCTAAAACAGCTCTCATCATCACTGAAATCACTGCAGCATTGTCAAGTAGCAGATGACTGTGCGAACGTAGTCAATTAATATGGAGTTAATCCATCGAACAGCTTATGATTATATATAATAACGTTTTGGTTCAATTAGTAGTTTTCTTATTTTTATTGATAAGTAGTTCCTAGTAAATTCAATTGGTGAGTTTTCGAGACTTTTTTTTCCTTCCAGGTCCAGTCGCTAGTGCATTGACAAACAGGTTTGGCTGCAAGAAGGTATGCATCGGAGGAACCGTCCTCGCTGGAATGGCATTTGGGTTCAGCACACTGGTCACATCCATCGACCTTCTCATGGTCACTTATGGAGTTCTAGGAGGTTATTTTCAAGCTCATTCCCTTCTCGTGAAAAGTTATTTACAGTTTTTCATGGAATCTGTATATTTCTTATTAGGTTTGGGATTTGGACTCATATACTTGCCAGGCATCGTGGCGGTCAGTAATTGGTTCGACACCAGGCGAGCTCTTGCAACCGGAATTGCAATTTGTGGCTCTGGAGTTGGCACTTTTGCATTTGCTCCTCTTGGGAACTTCCTCTTGGAAGAATACGGCTGGAGAGGGTCTTATCTTATCTTCGCCGGCATTCTTCTAAACTGCTTGGTAGAGACTTAGTAATTCGGTTTTTGTCTCTGGTCTCTTGCTCCGTTTTCGCCATCGTGACAATGAAAATGTGGGCTCAAATGCTGAAACCTACTTTACTTAACGGTTCTTTTAAGGATACTCGGGAAAAGAGATCCTAACTTAAAGGTTTAAATGAGGTTTAAAAAAAATAATTTGCCAATTTAATGTCACATGTCTTCATGAATATACACCCTGTATCGGACTTCAAGTTCATTTTGATCATTTGAACGTAGTGCAAACTATGCATTGCTTCATTAAAAGAAGATGTGACATTGCAAGATCCTCCCTCTTTTCAGATTTTGGGCTTATTGATGCGAGAACCACCTATGATGAAGCTTCAGCCTGCCCTTGAACAACCTGAGTCCCCCACGAGTGATCCTGCAAATTACACTAACGAGAAGTTGTGTGGGCCATTGGAGCAGAAGTCCAAGCTCTTCATGAAGCCCGAAGTCAACTCCAATCCTCACTTGAAGCTGGTTGGAACAAGCAGTTCTCCTGTTAACTCACTGCAGAAATTGATCATGATGCCCCGTATCTTAGAGGAACAGGAATTGCCTCCTCTTCAAAAGTCTCCCAGTGGAGGCAACTGCAGAAACAACAAAAAGAATGTCGAGGCAGTAACTTCTAGAATTAATTCCCCTATTTCTGGAACTATGAAAACTGCTGCATTAAGTCCATCAATCTTAAAACCAGAGTTTTTATCTCCCATAATGAAAGGTTCACATGGGAACATCCGCCAGACAGAGTCTGTCCCTGCACTCCCACGAAAACGTGATCTCGGACGCAATGCCTCGGCTTCTTTTGATAAGATCAAAACTGTACTAGGCAAGCGCTACAGTGCTCAGCTTCCCGGATCTCATCTTACCATTTATCAGAGGATGCTATCAGCCGAGAAACCTCTTGCTTCCAAGTTGTCAGGAATATCATTTTCTAGACAGATCAATATCACTTCTCAAAGTGGTGGAAGTCGTCAAACTGGTCTTGGTTCCGTACACTTGGTAAGTACCATTGACTCTTGAAAGGCTTGATCTCCTGGATTTCCTCTTAACGAATTTGTGGACGAATATGCATTATACCTGATTTATATTGATATTTTGCAGGCCCTAGCAAGGAAAGACACATTCTTGAGTGGAAGCGTGCAGAGGCTTCCCCATTTCCAAAGGAGTTTATCTGTTGAGGAATACAGAGCATCCGTTCTAAGCCTTCAACAGAAGGACACAATTGATAATCCAGCTACTTCACAAGAAGGTACTGCTGGGTAATTATTAGGTTTTGCATGAGCAATGTGAGGGCATCTTTTAGTAATTCCTTTTTTGTGATATCCTAGAAAAAGATGAGGGGTGCAGGATGCTCCCTGCTTCGTTTGTGGACATATTTCGGGAAATGACAGACTTCTCACTCCTCAAGAATCCAGTGTTTCTCTTGATCGGGTTGAGCAACATCTTTGCAATGCTTGGATTTAATGCCCCCTTTGATTACCTGGTTGATGCAGCAATCAAAAAGGTGATCTACAGCTCATTCAATTTAATAGAGATTGTGCTGATTACAGTTATGGTTATGGTCATGATGATTACACTCGTGCCATTTCCTGTTAAATTTTTTTAATGAAATGCACTTGACAGTCCAGATGAAATCATGACCCATTCCTGTGCTGTTTTTGCTTTCTTCCACATAGGGCATAGATTTGAGTAGTGCCAGCTTCCTGCTTTCAGCTGTAGGGCTGACCAATACTGTGGGTAGAATCTTCATGGGGTGGCTGAGTGATCTACCATGGGTGGATTGCTGTATTCTAAACAATCTGAGTCTGCTGGTCAGTGGAGTCACTGTTGCATTCACTCCATTCTGTGACACGATGGTTGGATTCACCATAATTGCTGTACTCTTTGGACTCTGCATTGGTGAGTCATCCCTTCAAAGTCATGTCTGCCTAGGCTGGAATAAGTTAGTCACCTGTTCTGATATCTTTGGGGAGATATTGGTCCAGGTTCGTCTCCCTTGTCTGCAGCTGGATCCTAATTTTAATGAACATAGGGAGTTTGGAAAAATCTGACCTAGTCTGCACTATTAGTCTGGCAATTGCATGGGTAGCAGTCACTTTATTATTTGGATCCAAGGGGATTAGTAAGGTAACCCAGCAAACAATTTGAAACACATGACATTGAATCAATGTTGAATCAATATTGGATGAACGTTTGGGACGTTGATTCAACGTTGGTCCAACATAGCCTTGTTTGCTGGGAAGATATGATCTTCAAGGATAGAGTTTATTGTGTTTTGATAAGGTGGTTTCTGCTATTTTTGCTTCTGCTTGGTTCTTATTGATTGATTTTTTTTTTTACATTTTGTGTATAAGTAGCACAAATAAAGCATACTTATGCATTATAAAAAGAAATTTTTCTTCTTGCAGCGGGATTTGTGAGTGTTACATCAATTATGCTGGTGGAGCTCATGGGGATTGAGAATTTGACCAATGCATTTGGGCTGCTTCTCTTATTCCGTGGCCTTTCTTCATTCCTTGGAGCTCCTATTGCAGGTAGAACCCTTTGCTATTGTCCTTTTTTAAAATAAATAAATAAATAAACCAATTTCATAATTGTCATGTTTCTATTTCTGGTGCATCCTGAGGAATCTTATGCATTGGGCATCAAAAATCATGTATTTCAGGAGAAATCTTGCATTTTGGTGATTATTACAGGAGACCACTAGCAAATAACTCTTCATCCTCCTGAAATCCTCAAAGATGTCTTACCTCATCAAAGTCTCCAACTCTCACCATTTTAATAGAGAGAGCTTGAATTCATGCCAAATGCATTTCTCAGAGTTCATCTATTCTCAAAAAGGAATCCATGATTCTCATATTTCAAATTTCCTCCTCTTGATTAAAAAAAATAGTCCTTTCCTATATTGGAGAAATCACCACCCATGGTTAGGAAGAACGTCATATTGATAGGTATGATTATATTACTTTTATTTTTTCTGCCATTGAAGAGCTGAGTGCATGAGGAAGAGCCTATTTGTAGGAGATCAAGTTTGAACCATTGTAAGCCCATATTCATGGAGAAAGAGAAAAATAAGTAAAACCATTTTTTTGGGAAATTTCTTTACATTGATCTTTTTGTGTGATTTCCAGGTGCCATATCAGATGCTACAGGGAACTATGATGCCTCCTTCTATACTGCAGGAGGGTGCTTGATTTTGGCCTCCCTCATTGGATTCATCATCTACCTGCCAATACTGGCGAGTTACAGAACACCATTGGGGCATGCTAGGCCCCATGAATTAGAAGTCATTCCAGAGGGAAATGAAGCAGATATTTCTGATTCATGGTCCCACATCTCTGAGAAAGACCTGAATTCCTCCCCAGCATAGACTTTTTTACATTACCACCCTTTAAAATCTCCCTAAAAATTAAGATATTCACAGTAAAAGCTGAATTCTAGAGTAGAATACTGGAGATGAGTATGCATTCAGTGAATTGCACACATCTCCAGCAAATTGGACTTTTATAATTATTCCATAGATATTCAATTGACTTTTATTAGCCAGCTCTGAGTCCTATCAAAACTTCACATGCAATTCATAGTTGCAGTTATGATACAGACTTGCAACCTTGACTTAACATCCTTTGTGTGATCATAGTCTGAGTTCTGTATGCAGACCCATAGAATTTGGTATAAGTTTACTGCAGGATGTCTTGTGTCCATTTTTGTTTCTGTGATAAAAAGGATTTTTGAAGCATGGTAGCACAAGAAACACTATCTCCAAGACAGCTGCAACCCCAGTGATTAATATTGCTGTAGGTAGAGGAGGCATGAGAGTCAATCATGGAATTACGGGTGCTTTCAATTCCCAATATCCTTCTGAGGAGTTTCTGCTTAGATTTTTATATTTGTCATTGTGTCTGTCATTTGTCATTGGGTGTATGCTAGCTGGGTTCTGCTGATGTTTCCTGGAGATTTTAAATTTTCAACAATGATATGATCACTTATCTTGATCATCAATGTCCTTGACATATTTATCTCTGTTACCACTATAGTACTATCATAGTAAATCGCAGCTGTGGTTCCATATTGAATTTGCTAAACTTTCAACCCCCTTTTGGTGTCCCTTTTTAAGTTAATTTGAACAGTAAATATGATATGTTTCAAGATGATATTTTAGAATATGAATAGTTGTGCATTGTCCCTGTGAAGAAGTGTTGACAGCATTTTCCTATTTTTTTAATTCTCACTTCAATTTTTACTTAAAAACACTGTTTACATAAAACCACATTTAACATATAAAATCGGACGAAGCTACGCAGATGAAACTTTTGGATACTTCTTACATCCTTGTGATAGATGTCAAACTAGTGACTCCCCAATGACATTAATACCTGACAGTTGATACCAAATATCATCAGTTCCTTGAAACACGAGTTTCATAGGTATTCAACCGAGACTTGAAAAATGAAGTGTGATGTGATTTTTCATTCTTTCATGCATTCCTTGTAATTCATATAGTGCTTGGAGCTTGTCTTGGAGGAATAAATGTATTTTATTTAAATAACGTTCCATTGATCCTTTTCATGTTCACGAGGGAAGGCAGGGAAAAGCACCAATGTCCACCCAGCTCTTTCACCCTTCACTACGCGCAGTCGCCTCTACCCTAGGCGGCAACTTGCCAGACGAAGGCAGGGAGTGTGCAGCAGCTTCATAATGAATTCATCTCGCACGTTTAAATGTCGCAGTCCAGTTTTTTTGGCAATGAGGTTGGGAGACGAAGCTTCTTGCTCATATCGGCCATGACCCCGAAGGAAGAAGAAAGTAGGACTCGACCCTAACGTATCAAGATTTTCTGCCATAATGTGTTCCCACGGCAGGCGCCAGCCAGGTTAGATTGTAGAGGGCATGGGAGGTGCGCAACTAAAACCCACCACTTTGCAGACAATTGGTGAGACTATCATGGCAAACGTCTCGGAAAGAGGGGGTTCTATTGACCTGAAGCCGTTCACGCCCCAGCATTGAAAAGATCCGAATGTTATGGAAAATTTAATTTTTTTGGTTCCAATTGAGTTCATAGTTCCCTACTTACGGAGAAAGGAAGCTTCAGTTTTTGTAAGCAATGAACTAGGAACCGCATCGTAATTTAGGCTTCAGGTTTCTTATACGATTTGTATAAGAAAGAAGATTTTGAAGAATCTCAAGATTTGGAAGAAATCTCAAGTTCGTTGTTGAAAATCTTGTTGTTGGTTCAAAATCTTGCTGCCAAAAAATGAGCATGAAATGGGTGGCCATGCAGAATGAGAGATTTCCTTTCCTTAATCTTTTTACACCCATCTGATTGCCTGGACACAGGTGGTGCTATCATAATGATTAACTTGCATCACACTGGTGCTACTTTTGGCAAGATGTATTAAGGCAGGTTTAGAAGTATGCTTGATGATCGGACGTTTCAATGCATGTATCCTGTATCCTGACTTGCTTCCCGCCGAGTCTCTCACTCGCATTCCCTTAATCATCTCTTGCCCAACTTGTTCAATGGAACAGAATATACCAAACCAACTCGATTCTGGCCCAATGTGCTAGAAAAGGAGAACATCTTTCATGTATTCTATGAGCGGAGGGTAAGGATTACCCCTCAAATAATTTGTTTATTTAGACAGGGGAACCCCGAAGAGACCAGACAGTGAAGGCGAAGTCCGTTTTCCTTCTTCAGCATGGTAAGAACGACTTTATTTAGAATTGACTTCTCTATTCAATGACCCGTTCCTGTAAACGTATGCAGACGCTCTGCGGCGAAATTCGGAAGTGTAAGCTCATCCTATTGAGAACACTATTTGTTCAAGAATGTTTCTGTGATATTGTGCCCAAGACAGCATTACGGAGGATATCGATAATGGAAGCTGATAAGAGAACGCAGAAGTCGCAACAACGAGAGTCATGTTGCCTCCTTGATGAATCATCATCTCATCTGGACCAGTCTCATCAATGGGAAAGTAGGAGGAAGAAAGACAACTAACTTCGGTGTTGAAATTGAAGCAGATACTGTCGTATGAAGAATTCAGTTACTTCGCCGGTCTAAATCCTGGCCGTTTTATGGAAATTGACGCCAACATGATATAGATGGGTGGAGATTCTCTATTTGGGAGAGGCACGTTGCCAAGAAACTCCTAGGCCAGAAATCACGTAGAGCGGAATGCAGAACACTCTTTGGCAGGAAACTACGTAGGAAAGAAAGCATTTAGCAGAGTGACATGTTGCCCCAGACAGGTCAGAGAGCAGGTAAGTCATCCTGAATAAGGTGGTTCTTCCCATGCCGAGGTTCGAAAATGGAATTTGTCTTCACTGTCAGGTTTCTTCGCGTTTCTCTATCCCTTCCTCCCCTGTCTGGACACGAATGCCTTGAGCGGGAATCCTCACTCTCTGCTCATCACATCCCCGAAGGAAGTTCTCCCTTTCCAGCACGTGAGAATCAAGTTGGTTTGGTATAGTGTAAACTCGCGAAGGAAGCAGGCCGAGCCATACCCCTCAGGCAGGTTGAAGGTCACCCCTCCACCCCTACCTCGACTCTGTTTCCAATCCTCTCAATACCAGATCCGTCGCCCTTACGTTCGCACCTTGGCTTGCTTACCGCTTGGTTTTCCATTCCTGTGTTCTCTTCCATTGGTGGGTAACTCAGCGGAGAAGATACCGGAGTCTTCACTTTTGTGAGTACCTAACAGCTAGCTCTTCTGTTTAGAAGTTGGACATCTTGATCACGGTGGATTTGGATGTGTTGGCTTCCCAACTGGGACACTGTACATTTCTGGTGGGAAATGCTCTTTTCGTTTTCATAGTGGGAGGCATATCTTATTGTGTTTAACCATGTCTCTTCTTAACTTTCATCCTACTGCCACTTTAATACAGTAATCTTTGATTTAAAAGAAATTCATTTTTCGTTGTCGCGGCCCTTATTCCTTCTACTCTCGTTCTACTTGCAGCTCGAGAGGGAAACTATTCTCTCGTTATAGCAAGGGAGGACTCGGCTTTTCTTTGACTGTTAACCACAGGCCGTGGCTTCATCGTCGTCTCGACCAGGATTGCCGATGAGTACGAGACCGGCATTGAAAGCATCTGCTGCTCCCTCTTCCTTAAAGAAGCAGACTTCGCCTCGGCGATGGACACCCCTCTGAAACACTCTTCTTCGCAGTTGGGCTACCTCTCGCACAAGGTACTGGGGGAGGGCTCTTTAGAGGGTTCTTGGGGTCACACACGAGGGCAGAACTTTGATAAGCGCAACACGGAGCAAGTTGTTCGTGTTGCTGTTTGTGAACCTCTGGTGTAGGGAGAGGCGCCTCGTTCATCACGGTAGTATACAAGAAGGGTCTCGGGAAAATCTATTTCAAGTCGGGAAACGCATGGTGTCCTGCATTTCCCTTTATGTCCTGGAGAAACATAAAAGGAAAGGTTGTGTCCCAAGAATCAAGCCAACATCTAATTTGGCTGGAAGCTTAGGTATAACATGCGATCCTTCCCATGTGTAAACAGGTAATGAAATGACATGCTCAAAGTGCTTCCACCCTGGTAATTTTTCATTCATTGGAAGAGAAAATTAGTGAATGTCAGTTAAAATTTGGCAATTGAAGAACTCCCCCTTTGATCATTCTCGGCCTGTCCTTTTTACCTACGCCCATGGCGAATTTGTCTCGTCATCGCCTCACGCTGGATTGAAATTTATGCAGCTATCATACTTGAAGGTTGGATGAAGGTGCTTTGGGCGGTTACTTCCACTTTCGCCCCAGCAGAACCTCGCACCCCCATTCCGATTGATAAGGATCGCAAAATGTCATTTAGTCTTTGACCTTGACACGGGCAACTTTCCACGTGATTTACGTGACTGATAATTTCTGCCTCAATTTTATCTTTCAATTTCGTTCGTCCGCCCTGCGTGAAGATGGAAGAATGGATAATAATGATTTCATAGAAATCAATAGGGCAGAAGGAGCTATAACTAAATGAAAGAGTTTACCGATCCCAGAGGAAGCACGAGAGCCGGAGTAGCTGTTAGACATACTGGGGTTATCGCATAGAAAATCAAGGGAAATACAGGGTCTTAGAGGCTCGGATGACTTTTCTTCACAACCGATTTTGACAAAGGGAATTAATCTGAAGAAAAAGAATCTTGATCTATTGTCATGTGGTGTCGTATGAGTCAGACTGTGTTCCTTGCGGAAGGGTGCACCCTTTGGGCACCATTCTCCGTCCATGAGATGACTCCTTAGCTTTTTAAATGCAAGTATTTTCCTTGAAAAAAAAAATGAAACGTTGGCTGTGAGAGTTTTGACAGCTGATCCCTGTTTCAAAGTACATTCTCGTGTTCCGTACCGTATTTTGCTGATCACTGCGCCGTGGAGAATTACATCCAGACGCGAAAACCCAACTTTTCCTGTGTCTAATCCAACCTTGTGATCCCTGTAGAAACAATCCGAGAAACCCAGAATCGTCATCGAAAGCCGCGAGAGCTTGGAAGCCAGGGGACGGGTGGAAGTCGTCAGTCCAAGAAAGAAAGAGTTTGAGGCTTTATCCGTACCCGTTGAAAACGAGGAACCCGTTAGAATTCCCGATGTCCCGAATGGAGGATACGGTTGGGTCATCGTCTTCGCATCCTTCAGTGCCAATGCGATCATCAATGGGATTGTGTATACCTTTGGAGTCTTCCTTCCGACCTTGACTCTTGATTTCCACGAGACCAGGGGGAAAACTGCGTGGGTTGGAAGCCTTATCGCAGGACTCTATTTCAGTGTCGGTGAGGTTCCTGCACTCGTCACTTCTTTTTTTTTTAGGTCAGCCAATCCTGGTGGTGGTTTAATCGATTGAATTTTAAAGTAAAAATTAATGTGATTGATTATATTTGAGATCAAGTCTCCTCATCCGAGGGATGATGTTTTGGACTGAACTATTTTCATTCATAGTCAATATCCATCTAGTCCAGAATCCGAAACTGGATCGATCAGGGTGGATCCGGATGATGGTAAATTCTCGTCATCATTCAGCATTGTGAAATAACGAGTGGCAGTGTGTCCGATACCGTTTTATTTTCCTGCATTAATGTTGCTTTATTTGCCAGACTCCGAGAGGGAATTGTGAGCCTATTAAAGTGGGATCAAGCATCCCATGAGTATAAAGAATAAAGTTTTGGATAAATTAGCAGTCCCAGTTTTCTTATTGCTAGAATAGTTTCTAGTGAATTCAGTCTGTCCCTTTTCAAGAAAATGTTCCCTTCCAGGTCCAGTCGCTAGTGCATTGACAAACAGGTTTAGCTGCAAGAAGGTATGCATCGGAGGAGCCGTCCTCGCTGGAATGGCATTTGGGCTCAGCACACTGGTCACATCCGTCGACCTTCTTATAGTCACTTATGGAATTCTAGGAGGTTGTTTTCAACCTTTTCCCTTTGTGAAAATTTACTTAGTCATGGAATCTGCATATCTCTTATTAGGTTTGGGATTTGGACTGGTATACTTGCCAAGTATCGTGGTGGTCAGTAATTGGTTCGACACCAGGCGAGCTCTTGCAACGGGAATTGCAACTTGTGGCGCTGGAGTCGGCACTTTTATATTTGCTCCTCTTGGGAACTTCCTCCTAGAAGAATACGGCTGGAGAGGGGCTTATCTCATCTACACTGGCATTCTTCTGAATTGCTTGGTAAATACTTCTTGATTCAGTTTTTGTCTCGTCAAATGCTCCGTTTTCATCATGATGACCATGAAAATGTAGGCCGGAATTTTTCAATCTCCTTTAGTTAACGGTTCACTAAGCAGGCATGTGCTACATATACATCCCCCCAGTGCACAAATTCACAAGTGGTGTCAAAATGTCGCTGGACCAAGTATGGAAGTTCGTTTTATTTTTAATCCTGACCGCTCTCCATGTTTCCGTTCGCTCTTCAGCCGCGTTCCCTGGCGGGCCGGCGGGTGCTGTCGGTCTCTTGGCAGAGAGCGCCGAAAAAGCATGCCTTTGAGTCTTTGTGATGAGAGCCTTGGTAGAAATGTATCCTTTAATTAAAAATAGTTAAATAGCTTATTTTCTTCCAAAGTGTGAACCCATTTTAAAGCATTTTTTAAGATGAAGAGAGTAAAATATTAGTTTTTCTATGAGTATTAAGAGTTGTTTTAATGAGTTTTAGTTACGGTGTCAATTAACTTAATGAGAAAATTTTTCTAAATTTAGTTTCAGATGACTGAATATAGACTAAAACTAAAATGGATGAGGTGAAATCATGGTCGGTACTTAAATTACTATTGATTTACTTTTCTCACAACTAAGAGAAGCAAAGGAACCTTCACTTGAATCAATTTTGATCCTCATCCTCTGATCCGAAATTTTGGTAAAACTAGGTGTATTTGTATGAGATATGACATTGCTAGGTCCTCCCCCCATTTTCAGGTTTTGGGCTTATTGATGCGAGAACCACCTATGAAGAAGCTTCAACCTGTCCCTGAACAACCTGAATTCCCCATTGGTGACCCTGCTAATTTCACTCACGAGAAGCAGAGTGGGCCATTGGAGCAAAGGTCCAAGTTCTTCATGAAGCCCGAAGTCAACTCCAATCCTCGCATGGAGCTGGTTGGAACAAGCAGTACTCCAGTTAACTCAATGCAGAAATTGCCCATGCTGCCCCGTATCTTGGAGACACGGGAATTTCCTCCTCTTCAAAACTTTTCCACCAGTAGCAACAGCAACAATAGCAAAAACAATGTTAAAACAGTAACTTCAAGCATTCATTCCCCTATCTCTGGAACTCTGAAACCTGCTGCCTTGAGCATGTCGAGCATAAAGCCAGAGTTTCTATCTCCACTAAAGAAAGGTTCGCATAAGAATATCCGCCAGACAGAGTCTGTTCCTACACTCTCGCGAAAGCATGATCTCAGACGCACAGTCTCAACTTCTTTCTATAAGATCAAAACTGTACTGAGCAAGCACTACAGTACTCAGCCTCCTGGATCCCATCTTACGTTTCCTCAGAGGATGCTATCAGCCCAGAGCCCTCTTGCTTCCAAGTTGTCAAGAATATCATTTTCTAGACAGGCCAGCATAGCTTCCCAAAGTAGTGGAAGTCGTCAAACTGGTCTTGGTTCCGTACACTTGGTAAGTACCATTAATTCTTTAAAGGCTTGATCTTCTGGATTCCCTCTGAACGAGTTTGTGGACGAATTTGCATTATATCTAATTTATATAAATATATTGCAGCCCCTAGCAAGGAAAGACACATTCTTGACTGGGAGTGTCCAGAGGCTTCCTCAGTTCCAAAGGAGCACATCTGTCGAGGAATACAGAGCATCCGTTCTAAGCATTCAACAGAAGGACACAATTGATGAAGATAAATCTCCTCCTCAAGAAGTCCATCCAGGTACTGACGGGTAATTATTAGGGTTTTGCACGAAAAATATGAGGGTATCATTTAGTAATTATAGTTTCGTGATATCCTAGAAAAAGATGAGGGGTGCAGGATGCTCCCTGCTTCGTTTGTGGACATATTTCGGGAAATGACAGACTTCTCACTCCTCAAGAATCCCGTGTTTCTCTTGATCGGGTTGAGCAACATCTTTGTAATGCTTGGATTTTATGCCCCCTTTGTTTACCTGGTTGATGCTGCAATCAAAAAGGTGATCTTCAGTTTATTCAATATATTAGTGTGCTGGCTACAGCTGAGGAACTAAAGTGCACATGAAATTGTGTTCCTGTGCGGTTTTTGCTTTTTTTCAACATAGGGCATCGGTTTGGGTAGTGCCAACTTCCTCCTTTCAGCTGTAGGGCTGAGCAATACTGTGGGTAGAGTCTTAATGGGATGGCTGAGTGACCTACCGAGGGTGGATTCCTGCCTTCTAAACGCTCTGAGCCTGCTAGTCAGTGGAGTCACAGTTGTATTCACTCCCTTTTGTAACACGATGGTTGGGTTCACTGCAGTTGCTCTTCTCTTTGGACTCTGCATTGGTGAGTCATCCCTTCAAAATCATGTCTGCTAAGGCTGGAAAAAGATTGTCATCTGTTGTAATCGGGGAGGAACTGATGTCAGGTTGGTGTGAATGTTCTGCAGTTGGATTCTCATATTTCAATGTCAGGGAGTTTGTCAGTTCTTCCAATGTTCACTATCTGCATCATTGGTCTCCTGATTGCAGAAGAAGCAATCACTTTATTATTCGGCTCCAAGGGAGCCATTAACACGTTGACTGCCCATGTCCAGTTAACTAGTCATCAATGGCAGCAGAACCAATAGCATATTGGTTGGAGATGGGCAATCAATACATATTAGGTATAAAGATAAGGTCTTTAAGGGGAGGGAGGTGTTTTTATTTGGCTTGTTACGACAGAATCAAGTAGAAACAAAACAAAGAGGAAAAGAATTGGTTTTGTAAAACATACTCTTGTATTAAAAAAGGTTTATTTCATTGCAGCGGGATTTATGAGTGTAACATCAATCATGCTGGTGGAGTTCTTGGGGATTGAGAGTTTGACCAATGCATTTGGGCTGATCCTCTTATTCCGTGGCCTTGCTTCATTCCTTGGTGCTCCTATTGCAGGTAGAGCCCCTTGCTTAACGTTCTTTGGTTTTTCAATTTTGTGATAATCATGTTTTGGCCCCTGGTGCATCTTGCTGTCTATTAACAAAATGGCTGATATATTAGGTAAAACCATGCATTATGGTGTTGATCTGCTAGCTAATCCTGAAATATCTCTAACTTTCTTGCAATAGGGGAGAGCGTAATTTGAAAGACAGCCTTCTCTCAATAAAAATAAGCTTTTCCTATTTGAGAAAGCACCAGGCATGATAAGATTTGCAAGCCCATGCTTTTGGATGATAAATAATTGAGTAAAATAAGTAAAACCATGTTTCTAGGATATGGGATTCTTTACATTGATCTTTTCGTGAAATTTCTAGGTGCCATATCAGAGGCTACAGGGAGTTATGATGCCTCCTTCTATACTGGAGGAGGGTTTTTGATTTTGGCCTCACTTGTTGGATTCACCGTCTACCTGCCAATGTTTGCAAGTTACAGAACTCCATTAGGGCAAGCTGGGCCCCATGATTTGGAAGGCACTCCAGAAGGAAATGAATCAAAGACAATGACCCAAATCTCTGAAAAAAACATTAATTCCTCTCTGGCGTAGACTTTCTTTCATCACCCTTCATTCTAACCTATAAAATAGGATAGTCACTGTAAAAGCTGAATTCTAGAAGAGAATGTAAGATAATCACTTTTTCCTTGGGCAGCCCTGAGTCCCATTAAAACTTCACAGTCCATAATTGCAGTTGTTGGTTGCAGACTTGGTTGGTACTTGTCATATGTGCTCATAGTCTGAGCTTTGTGTGTGTACCCATACAATTGGGCATCCTTTTAGTGCATGATGGCTTGTGTGAATTTCTGGGTAGGAAGTTTTTTGATTCTGTGATAAAAGGAATTTTTTATGTATGACATAGCACAAGAAACAATATCTCAAAGACTGCTGCAACCCCAGTGACTCGTAGTTGCCTGATTGTTGACTATGGAATTATGGGTGCCTTCTGAAGACTTTCACCTTAGATTCTTATCTTGTATGTCATTTGATAGCATTGTGGAACTAACTGGACTCTGTTAGAGCTTCTTGGAGATTTCCCAGAATAACCTATGGTTTTGGTCATTTACCTTGGTCATCATTGCCATCATTTTTACATTCTGTTTCTGTAACCAGTATAATAGTAAATCTCAACTGTGGTTATTGGATTTGTTCAACTCTCAAATCCTTTTAGGTCCCTTTATTAAAATTAATTTGATAGCAAATGTAATCTGTTTCAAGATGTGTTAGAATTTGCATTGGCCCCATGAAGAAGTGGTGACAGCATTTCCATGTTTTTTCAATTCTCACTTCACCATTTACCATCTTACCACTAAGTTCCATTATCAAAGTGAGTGGGACTGACTTCGATCATCATTTGACACAATGGTAACTTAAATGAGGTATTGTATTTTTGCCAATTAACAGAAAATTGTTTACATGTATTGTGGCTTGATGAAATTCACATGTATAGCTTTGTCCAAATTAATATATACAAGTGAAACTTTGGTATGTTGCTTATATGCCTTGTGACAAATGTTCAATTAGTGGCTTTCCAAATTATATTAATACCAGATTATGTCCATTAAGTTCCATGAAACAAGACTCAACGATTTTGTACTTTTTCATTTTATCTTTTATGCTATTCCTTGAACTTCATATGCTGTGGAGGAATTGTGGAATAAATGGATTTTTATTTAAATCTAACATTCCATTGGTGGTTCTTTTCATGTTCTAATGCAACTTGAAAGAATTACCAAAGTATGCTATTGATAAAGTCATGCTATAGAAGATCTAAATAGAAGGCTAAAATAGAAGTTTAAACATGTCATTGCGAATTTGGATGGCAATGACTAGAAATTTTCACCGTAAGCACAGCAATATGTACATAATCATTTTTTTTAGATATAGAGAATAAACATGCATATTGGAAGGCATGATGATAATGTAGTGCATGTGCAAACTCCTGCTCCTGGGAGAACAATGGGGTTGGGGGGGGGGGGGAACGGTTGGAAAAATAGTCAAGAGTACCTTCAGCCAAATTTGAACTTTTTTTTGCTTTAACACGTGCGAAACTCTGAACAGATTTCCTCTACGGAAGAGACAGTGACGGAAGTCTGGAAAAGTATTGGAGAGATGGGCGGCTCATTCACACTTCATACACTCGCTTTAATACAGAATCAAGCCGTTTGGTCTCCTATCGGCATTGCGGTTCTCTCGGTGAACAGAACAGATGGGATGGAATGAAACGAGTTTCTGGACTTGTTCCATTTCAGACCTATGACTGGAATCAGAGTAAGAAGCCCTCGTAAAACGACCCTCGTAAAAAATGGCCTATATTTTTCCACTCTCCCCTAGCTGCTATTCCCGTCGCGTCCAAATATTCTAGGCACCATTAATCCTTTGTCAGAAACTTTTAAATTGCGCACTTTTAGCCTGAGGTGGTCGAGACTTTCAACCACCCCTCAAGAGCGTTTGACTTCCTGAACTCCTTCGCATAAAGGAAAGAAAACAACAGTTGCATTTTTAACGAAATGCAGCTAAGTTGCTTCCTCGCGTTAAACTTCGAAATCGAATTGCACGCCTCAAAGGCCACTCATAGAACTCGAGCCTCTAACGGTAATTCCCAATGCAGGATGAGACCAGAAAAACCGTCCGGTATGCTTCTGTGGCAAGTATTCACCATGGTGAAACAAGTGGCAAGGCAGTCAGAAAACCCCTCCACAAAGCTCAAATGTTAAGCCACCTCGTTCTCCCTCCACTATGTGCTGACACGCAACGACAGCTTGCCAGCGTGCAGCAGCTTCACATTCAGTTACATTCCCCGGACCATAGCCTTCATGCCGGCTATGTCTCATTGTCAAAAACTGAAGAGTGAACATATAAACGTGCGAGATTGGACGTAAGAAAACCTGGACCGACAAGGTTCACCTCCTATCATATGATGTCCCACGTCGGACGTCCCAGGTCAGATCGTCCGTCGCCATCAAGGCAAACGTATCGGAAAGAGCCAGACCGCAGCCGTCCGAGACTCGGCATTTAAAGGTTCCGAATGTTATAAAAACCTGTGGCTTTTTCGGTTCAAATTCTGTTCTTCCTACTTACGAAGGAGTACGAGGATTACCTGGCGATGATGACCACCCGGTAAGGAACGATTCGATCCAATCTTCTCTCCTTGAACAACCATCCACGTAGACGGCGGAATCTCTCCGTCTCTCGCCACCACTGTTAAGGACGCGGATTCCCAGGAATTCAGCGATCCGCATCACATCTGCCGCGCGTCCCTTTTCCCAACCAGTTCAGGCTCGCGTTTACACAGGGCAGTGCGTCCATCCAGTTGGTAGACTAGATGAACATATGAGGCATAGATGGTTGATTTCAAAGCGGCAGTTGAACTATAGTCCTAAGATGGTCCCAGTTGAAGTCGACCGAACCTTGAACGGACTGAGTTGCCTCAGTTTCTTTTCTGTTCAACTGCAGTCAGACTGCGGTCCAACTATTCGTTGACTCAACAACTTACTCTTACGTTTTTGAACTAAACTAATTGAAACGGCTCGAACGCTAGCCACAGATCGGTGTTATATTCGTGGTTCAGTTCGTCACCGGTCATCTGTTCCGCTGCATACGTCGCCGCTTTATGACTTAATCGCACGCGGGGTGCTCCACTGCCACGATTTAGTGAATGGCAAATGCAAGCAATCTATCATCCTCGTTCCACCGTGACATGGCAAGGAAAACCAAGCTGCACCAACTTCAACTCAAACAGATAGTAAGTATATATGTCTCGATTTCTTCTAACGGGCTTGCAACGGAAATTTTTGGTTTAGTAACATGGGGTCCCTCCACAACTTTGTACTGACCCACAAATTTTGATTCCTTTGGGGGGTCTGTAGTAGTAGAATCGGCCTTATAAGCACTAAATAAGGAACCCCGGAGGGGTCCGAATTTTGAAACGCCACCTAGCCTACCACCATCCCCGGACCAAATGAGGAAGCCAAGCAAAGTTTGGTCGGACTGGGATCAGAGGCGTGGCCATGCATAAAGGACAGACAGACAGACACTCTGAAAATATAGTATAGAAGATTAGCTTGGCCTTCCCATCGAACCTCAGGGTGGGTCTGGTTCGAGTTCTCCTGGCGCCATGACATACTAATTGAAGTCTGACTAAGATTGGACTCGCTCGTCAATGAAGGTAGGGAATCTCGAACATCTAAACTAAAATCGCTTGAGAAACTGAAATAACTTCCTTGGACTCACGTTCCATCGATAGCTGGCGACGACGATACTTTCATCGCGATGCAGAATGACAAGGAGCACAAGAAGCAGATCCAATGGATGCACGGGATGAAATCCGTCTTCACGAGTAGCAAGAATCAATTCTGCTGGTCAAGCCTCGCGACCCTCTCGAGGAATTAGTGGGTTCTGCGACCCATTTGAAGGGGGAGAGACGTTGGCAAGAAACCCCTAGGCCAGAAATCACGTAGAGCGGGGTCTGGATATTGAAAGGTGAAGGAAAGAAATGGAAGCTTGACTTCGTCCGTATGTCCCGAGGCAGTATTTTTTTCTCCAACCTCCCCACTACATCGACATATCCATTCTTCGTCGGAGTTACAAACAACCGGCGGAAATGGCCTTGTAGGCAGAGCGTCCGCGTGCCGACCGGGAGGCTGGGGTTCGAACCCCAGCCGGGCCTTACCCAGGCTAATGGGTACACACCTTTCTGATCCGTGTCGGGTGCTCAGGCGCTCGGTACCCGGCTTTTTCTAACAGGAAAAGGAGGTGTGGGAAAATTAATGGGTTTTCGGCCCATAATTTTCTTGTTGAGATCGGACCAGATCGGCATTGCAGATGGGCAAGGCCCCTTGATTCTGTGAGTGGGCTTGATGTGTGCTCACTCTGTTGCCTAAGGTAAGATCCCCCATTATGATAATTTATGCCTTTAACGACAGTATGAAATTATTTTCCTTTCACATACCAATCAAGTGAACTTCTCTTGCATACCCCCACCGGACACGATTTTTAAATGCACTTCAAAGTGGTTTTTTAAATATAAATTTTATATTAGAAAAGAGGGGTGACCTGACCGTGCTAACCAGAAGAACGGTGATTATTGTTTTTGTCAGTACTTTGTAAGTAACAGTAACCTTGTCCCGCTACACAATTGGACCAGAATGTGTTTGTGCTTGAATTCAATTAAATTTGGCACGCCGGATTGTGCATCATCATTTTAAATTTATTACTGGCATTCCAAATTGGAAATGAAAAAAAAATGGTGGGGCTCACAACTTCTCAAAATCACTTGGTTCAATCAATGGACTTGTTCCCACCAATTTGACACAGGGGTCATGAGCCCACACAGAGAATCGAGGTGAAGTTTAGGAAATACCGATCATTTTCCTGCAAAATAGTAATGCATACTTTTAATCTCCATTAGCATACTTTAACCTCCTTCATTTTGGCTTTACTACTAGGAGTCAACCAACTTTTTAGGACAAACAATACAAATATTATCGAGGCGTGGCAAATTTAACAAATATCTCGGTCCCCGTAGAGACCGGTTTTAGCCTGACGCCATTCTCAAGATATTATGAATGGCAAGCCTGAAGCATTTTAATTCTGAGATGGTTGAGCAACATTGTCGGGCTCAGACACGGATAATAATAAAAAAACAGGTTTGCGGAAATTTTTATTCGGAACCATCGAGAGTGACTGATAAGCAGATGACTAAGCAGATGCGTTAAGCCTGCCGCACACGGGTCAATTTTTGTCGTTCCAGGCGAAATTGCTCTGAACCCGCCCAAATTGGCCCCATTGACCTATCACATTGCTTGCATAATGCTCCGAGTGCCCACGGGGTCTCATCTGCGACGATCGCGTGACGGTGGAGCAACAAAAATTGCCTTGTGTACGGCGGTCTTTAGTCAAGAGTATCTAACCTACCCGAGAGTTTGATCATGTTATTAAATAGCCTACACCGAGTGAAACTCGCATTGCTTAGACGGCAATCTAATGTGAAAAAAGGATGGATTCGCAGCACAGAGGCAGTTGGCAGTTTTAGGAAAAGGAAAGGTAAATGATAGGTTGTCTGATTTGGCTAGATTGTGCGTAGCACGACAACGTCCTTGATTAAATGAGCTGCGAGGACACGTGGCCAGGTGTTAACTTCAACTGTCGTTGTATCAGGCATGACGCCAGTTTTTTCCCGTCCATCTTTTTTGCTGTCGTATAATAGAAGCATCAGTGAGGGCAGCCGCACAGGAGGCGGCATTAATCCGTGCGATCATCGAATTCCCGCGAATCGAGGTTTCAGAGAAACAAGGACGCTGGTTTGCATTCACACGTACCAACGTAAAAAAAAACTAAAGCCGTTCACGAAGGCTGAGACGCATGAGAAAATCCGAAATATTAACAAGTATTAGTAATAAACACTGGTCACAAGCATAACCGTTACGCTACGGATCAGGCATGGGAGGCTTTAAGTCAGTGGTTCCCAATCTTTTTTTTATTTGCGGCACACATAAGGACACCTGAACTTTCCACGGCACACCCAGCCATTTACTTACTTTCAATGGGAAACTTGTACTTGCTTCGCTGAACACAGCAGTTTGATACGAGGCGTGATAGTGCAACTCTAAGCTCGTTTTCCACTGAGAGACGACTTTCCCTCTTGCTTTTAAGTTTTTTTTAGTTTTAGGTTTTAGGTTTTTTTTTTTTTGTCAACTCTCAAATCTCACGGCACACCTAAGCCTTTCTGGCGGCACACAGTTTGAGAAACACGGCTCTAAGCCAATGATTGCACCATGACTGAAACACCCATTAACTTCTCTTTTCCCAAACGTCGGCTAACACAAGTAACCTTAGAAAACTTAATTTGGCCCGAACTGTTACTCCCGTAACACTTGAGCCATGTTCGCCCTTCAAACGGGGTTCTCTAGTCCTCACCTAGTCACTGGTGCAGAGCACTCGGGAGCGCCTCCCTTCCCGACCACGCTAGGGAATCAATGATCCAAGTCAAGCAAGTTCGGAAATAAATGCCTGACTGTTGGTTTCGAACTAGAATCTCCTACACGGTAGCCGAGCTCCCTTTTCAACCAAGCCAATCGAAAACCAGGTTCTGCATGGATCTGATGGAATGAGACCATTTACACCAACAATATTCAATGTTTACTGTCTTCTACTTTTGTTCCTTCATGATCTTCAAAGGCAATACAGGAAGTAATATGACTAATGATCAAGGGATATCACAAAAAATGGTCCTAAGGCAATGGCAATGGACAACAGACTCCATTAAAAAATCCTTCTTTTTTTTTCCAAAAAAGAGAAAGACATGAATTAAATTTCTCTCTCCTCCATTTCATAGTGTCTCACATGTAACTGCACTCCATCTCTACACTCAAGATTTGTTCATTAAGGTATGAAGAATGTCAGAGGCCATTTTGCAAAATGAAATTAATTCACCAATCTTGATATCAAGATTGGGAATTCCAGATGGGAGCACTGCTCACAGCGTTTGGGAGACCCAACCACTAGGCACTTCTTTCTCAAGATGAGAGACTTGAAGGAACACAGTGGAGAAGGCTGCTGAACCAGGGTAGCATATCCTTGAAGTAACCATTAGATTCATTTTCAAGTAGGTGGCTTCTAGGGGTTTAGGGACATTATATACATTACTCCCACTCCAAGTAGGAATTAGATGGAAGGAAAACCATGTCAAATTTTTTCAAATGATTTTATGATTTTTGCTTATCTAATACTTCAGAAACGTTTAGGTGCAACTTTCATCTTCACCTAACTAAAACTGAGTATTCTACACTTTAAAATACCAAGAGTATTTTAAAGTGTAGAATACTTCTTTCTGAAAGTGCCTTTGGAGTTTCAAATTTACAGGTCTCAGATAAACTGCATACCTGCATACTTCCCTCTTCATGCATGCACATGCAACTTGGCAGGGAGGAGTTCAGATCCAAGACCAAAAGGAATAAGATTCCAAAATCGAATTCTCATTTTGGAAAAAAAAAAGGCATTCCTACAAACATCATCCATTCCAAGTTTTGGTATGTCAGGATGTACTCATTAGTTTTTGGGCCTCCTGCACCAGGATTGTGCATCAAGTAGAGCATAATTTGCAGCAGAAATATGGCCAAGGATGACACATCTAAATTTGCATTATCAAAAGATGTTCTCTGCAGTTTTGGTTAATAAAGTATACATCATGGCTGTCTTTAAGAGCACCTCCATGAAAAGCTTTTGAAAATGTAAGTTAACTAGCTTGTGGCTGAGTCACTCAAGCACACAGAAGGTTTTCTGGGGTTTTGAAAGATGATTAAGAAAGAAAGATTAATGCATTGATTTCGAAGCATCAGAAGGGTAGGCTCTTCGTGCTTTCTTCATTGATTGAGCATATCAAGCTAGATATTCATGTGAAGTTACATGAGACATGCTGTATATGATTCCTTCATTCATGCTATTATTATCACATTCATATTATCTTTGAGCTATGTGGCTGGGCATCATGATATTGTCATTCTCTGCAGCAATTTGAAGTAAAGGAATGGGAAGGGAGAGAAAATAATTCATGTTAGCACATTGTCATACATTGAATTACAGAGGGTTATGAAAATATACTTTGTAAAACGTCAACCTAAAAAGCCTGAGTTGAAAAGAATGAAAATTACTCAAAGCAGATGGACATCATTCAACATTGACATCTTCACTACCAAATTTGGCAAAATATAACTGACCGCATTTTACATGCATTTATAAGTCATTAACATCATAAACCTCATCACAGTGAAGTGCAGCACAAAACAATATCAAAACATTGTGACTTGAGAAGGTGCTAAATGTTTGTCCCAGAAAACTTAACCAGAACTCCAGCTGCAATCAAGCTATATCATTGGTCCCAAATATAGTGATATTAAAAAAGAGTAACCTATTTTGCATATGAAGTACTCACTTTCAGAGTACTCTGACATGAAGAGAATGCTACAGTGAATGGAATCTTAGATTAGTTGAGAATGACATCCACAATAATCTGTGGAGGAGAAAAATTCACTGGTTATGTCACTAAATCAGAAATCAAACAATATCACAATCAGCTGGAGTACCACTATGTAACTGGTATATCTAAACTGTTCTTTCTCTTGTAATGTGTGACACAATAAAGAGATAGTACATCCCTTTCAAGACACAAGTTCCCATCCTTCAGGAGGTTCCTCTAGATACTGTGTTACCTGAGTTGATTGCTCACACTCCTCTTCATCCAGATGAAGTTTCATGACCAGATGCATTCTTAGCTGGCCCTCCGTGTCTATACCCCATAATCGGTCATCCACTGACACTGAAATATTTAACAAGAACACAATGCCTTGGAGAAATTCAACCAGTGAAATTCAATCAATTGAGGTCTATACATCTACTGAACACAAACCTGATATGGAGTTGAGTGTACCGGGGATCCTCCGCCAATAATCACCAACATAATTGTTCTCTGTAATTCCATACCTCCGATACACTTCTCCCTTTAAAGTCAGAGCCCACACTGCCTTCTCACTGTAAGGGTAGTAAAAAAAGCATATATTGCACAAGACATTTCAAAAGTGCAAGGAAACCAAATCTGATGTCTTGGTCTCTCACCCAATAGCAAGCTGTGTGGCTTGTATTCCAGGTACAAAGACCCACTCAGTCCCAACGGGAACCTCTGGGAAAGTTCCCTCTCGTGCATAAACATTATGTCGATTGTCTATAGCCCATACTAGCTGCAGCTTTGGACCAACATAGACCTACATCAAAACAAGTCTCATCAGCTACAGCAGAACACAAACACACCAAAATGGAGGAAACAGGTGAGAGGAAGCACTAGACCTTTGTAAAAGTAGTTCTGCTGTTGAGAGGAGCAGGTGGTTTCCCTTCAACACAAATCCAGGCAGGAAGAAGAGCACCTGGGTTTAGAGATTTGGCATTTCCATAACAAAAATAAATCTTCCCTCGAGAATCACAAGCCCACACCACCTCACTGCTCACGCTCAGGTGCTTCAGTTCTACATCCTCTGCAAATCATACAAAATATTTAAAAGATTTTGCTGCAGCAGATGAGCAGGGGCGATTCACCAATCACGAGACAGTATGTGATAACATCAGTTGACCTACTGAGTTGGGTGAGAGGCAGAGGGAGCCAGATCTTTCCCTCAATCAGAGAAGATGTAATTCCAAGCCGGACATACACATTTCCATCAATGGTGAGCATCCAGAGAGATTCAGGTGCAGCACTCAATCCAAGGATCACTTTGTTGTCAGGAATTGAAATTCCCTGCAACATTCATTAACAGACTTATTGACTTCATTCTTCATTTGTTTTCCAATAAAGTATGTTTATATTTAATTGGGAAGAACTGACAATGGAGACAGCATTTGAGCACTTAACTCTCACCAAGCCATGTAAAAATTACCTTCTGTAGATCTCATGGAAACTTTCTCTTAAACATCAATGAAATTGTACAAGATTACTAAGTTACAGAAATAAAAGCTTTCAATGTTTTTATTAATTTGCTGTGCAAGCTGAGCAGGTCTTGGTTGAAGATTTAGATAAACCTACAAGGCGTCCAAAGTGACCTCATGCAGTCTGATGAAGGCATATGAGTACCTTTGTTTGCATGAGGTTAGGAGACAAACAGAGGAGCTGGCCAGCAGGGGATAGAAGCCAAATACCACCTTGATCACAATAAAGACTTCTGGCATCAAGAATACTCCATCGGGATGTTCGAGACATGAGGGGCACATCAACAACATCCCACACATGACCTTCAAGAGAATTAACTTCTTATTGCACAATTTCTCACTGAACTTAGAATCCCCACACCTTACTTACCGATGATGACCTTGTTGGGTGTGAAAAGGGCTGGGCTATTTCCTTGAGAGAACCAGACATGCTTCTTTCCAGCAGCAATGATAGGAAGATAGTAAGAAGAAGATAAAAGGGAGACAAGTTGAGATGGATGGACTTTGTGGGAGTGATGAAAGTTCTTTGACATGGGGAACACTGAAGCATTGATGGATACCTACCAAAATGAACAATAGAGAACAGTGAGAAAAACCTACTGAAATATCATAAAAAGGCTCTACCTCTCTAAGAACTGCCTATGAATTCACTGACCTGCCACCATCGATTGTCCAGTCCCTTTTGATGCAGAGGCCCCACCCCATTTTTAACAAAAATTCTGTCTTTATCATCCACAACAAAAGCCAGATCTCTAGGCCCAAGCCCAAGAGCAACAATCCTCCCTGGTAAGCCTACAGCATCTAGCAAAGCCCACTCAGAGCCTCCAGGAAGTCGAGGAGAGACACCAATACGGACAAAAACTCTTCCCACTCCATCACATGCCCAAACTACACTTCCATAGATCTGGAGCTTTACTACAGATACACAGGGGTCTTTCTCTATCACAATTTCACAACTGCATGGTCTAGTCTGTGAGAGATCTGCCTGGACAGCAATCCGTCCATCGCGGCAGATGTACCATGCAGATGAGTCTCCAACTGCTATGTAGGTGACATCTTGTGCAGCCTCTATCCACCTGACTCCACTCAAGGAATCTGAAGAAGGATTGAAGAGAGCATAGGCAGTGCCCTTGTGCAACCTCCATATGATATCACCCAGGCGAGAGAAGGCAATCTGATCAGCAGGATTGTCTGTAGCAAACCAGCGCAGGAGATAGCCATCCCATTGACTGTAGTAAAGAGTTCCTTTCCTGTCAACACAGCCAAGATAATGCTCACACACAGCTAGTGACATCAGGGGGCCTGGTGATTTGTACTGAAGCCAATCATTGGAGAGGTCACCCATTATCGTTGGTATTTCTTCATTACTTGGCTCAGTACACTCTTTCTGCTCCAAAGACACATGATCTTCACCACTTGTATGCCAACTGAAGTGACTGCTGTCAGATGGAGGACCATAACTCAAGGAGCCCAATGATGTAGCATCCTCATCTCCAGCACTAATTACCGATTCTAGCCTTCCCAACAGAGTAGAAATTGAATCAGTTTTTGGGGAGAATTCCAATGATTTCTCTCCTGATAATGGTTCTAGGACTTCTTGAATGGTGTTACTTGGAGTATCTTGAGAAGTTTCCTTGGAATCAAGGCTTTCCAGACCAATTAATTTGGCCAGTAGGTGCTCCTTCCATTCAATAGAACTTGCATCAGGCTGTTCTAATTTCAACTTTGGCTCTCCCATGCCATCAGCAGTCCCAGATTGTCCATCATCATCATTTATCACAGGCTTAGCATTTACAGACGAAGAGGTGGTATTAGGAGAACTAGAACTTGAACCAAGAATCAGAAGGGCTGGGTCATCAGACTGTCTTGAAGACATGCTAACTGTGTCAGAGTTTGAGTCACTGCCTGGAAAAGCAGAAGAAGGGAGGATAATATTATTGAGAGAGGATATGCTTCCCCATTTATTTTGGTCTACGTAAAAAAAAGCTTAAAGCAAAAGACATACCTTTATCACCGATCTTCTTTCTCTTCCCTTTCTTCCCATGATGGATGACTTCTAAGGGTTCAGAACCCTTTCCAGAAATTTTTGCTGCCACAGGGGGGGTGTTTTCCTGAGGAGTTGCCTGGGTAACCAGGGGAATCCTCAATGCTTCATCCAATGTCTCCCGAAGCCGCAGGACCTGGTCTTCCACTTTTGGAAGAAATCGATCAAAGAGAGACCTTGTCTTGTTGAGTCCCTTCAATCCAATTTCCTTCATTGTTGCCATGGGGTCAAGGGAATTCTCATCATTCAAAACCATCTCAGCTAGAACAGGAATATGGATGCCATTATACTCACTGTTTGAAGCTCCTCCACAAAAGAATCAGAACAGAACTTACGCAATGGAGCTACAGCAATCCTGGTAAGCATCCTTTTCTCTCTTATCATGTAAATGACACCAGAAGAAGAGCTGACATCTTTGACATGTGAGTGAGACAATAAGCAGCTTGTGACTAGTGATGCAGTAGAAGGATTAATTATGAAAAATCCTTTGGCACACTGGACTAGAAGGTTAGCTGAATCAAACAGCTTCAACGGGCCAAAGGCAATATCTTTGGGTATAGGAAGTTGCTCTTCAGTCCCAGGGTGCTCAAGCAAAGGTACACGTGGGTGCTTGTTTTGAAAGATATCCTGATTGGGTGATCATAGGGAAAATTTCAGGTGCAACGAAAGAGGCTGTTGAAAAAGTTAGAAATGGATACAGTGAGATGCCAAACCTTGAAGATTAGAGTGCAAATGACGTTCCCATCAAGATCAGCTTTCCAAAGTTTTTGACCAGGACGAGAGCAGTACACATAGGCTTGTGTGGATATATCTCCTTCTGGTACAATCACAGCACCATAGTTCCCCAGACTGAGATATTTTAAATGGCAATCTGAAACTTCCAATGAATCAAACCATTGCCTTTGTCAAATAAAGAATTCACTCACTTTTTCCTCTCGCTGGTGCCAATCTGATTCAAGGGAAATTTGTTTCCCATGGTTACTGAACCAAGCGTCATGATGAGTGACTTGGAAAGTGTTGAAATTGCAACTCTTCCTTTCCAATAGCCAAGCTGAACAATGCGGGTACTCTCTTGTGCCAGTGCAAATGATTCACTTTGGTTCTGGGGAGAGGTCCACCATGATGCAAGCAATAAGTAAACAAATATATCTGAAAAACACTAAACAACGATTAATGCTATAAAGGAAACTAACCCTGGCAAAATCAATCCTGGTGTGCATCACAAGTCCACTCGCATCTCCACTAATGAGTCGTTCTCCATTTGCACTCCAAGCTAGGGCAGTAACTTCACATTGATGAGATCCCTTGATAGTGAATCTCTCTGCCTATAAGGATGTAGAATGCCAACATGTGATGAACTTTTGATAAAATTACCATACCAACTGAAATGGTAGGACAATGGATAGGAACAGGAAAAGAAATAAAGATGTTGGAACAAGCAAGTTTGAATGTTGCATACATGCAACTCACCTTCTTGAATTGTAATGGGATCTCCACACCTTCTGGTGAAGGTCTGGATAATTGAAAGATGGTCAAGGTTCCATCTACACCACCAACTGCAACCATGTGGTCTATGGATTCCACAAGGCTTATGCAGCTGGTTCCACTTAATGAATGCTATAAGGAAATAACAGTATATGGTTGGTTGGATATAATCTTGCAGTAGGCAAGTATTTTCTCCCTTTATAAGGGAGAAAAATCAGCTATAGGAAAAATGTGGTTTCGGAGATGCAATTAAAACTGCCATTTAACATTCTGTCACAGACCATTTTCCCTTCCCAGAGCATGAGGAGGTTGAACATTTTCTGGAAAATATTTTTCCCACTGTCCACAAAATAGTTTTTTTTTAATCAAATGAAACCCTTTGTCAAGCCTATAAGATTGTCAAAAGGATTCCAAAACCAATCATTCTCATATGCAATATGAATCATTTTCGTATGCAATCCCTCACAGAATAATACTGCAAGTATTCAAAAGCAGCTGTTGCTACTGTGAGTTCATGACAACTATGAATAATTGCCATGAGCTGAATATGGTGCCACAACCTACATTGATAATTTCAATGACAACGAAAGGTAGGTCTAGGCATGTCCCATATCTCTTCCTCTAAGGGCTCGTTAGACTAACGTTTTGGCGTAACCATTTGGCGTAAGCGCATTTTTTTGTCAGTTACAAAGGACTCACCGCACATCTCAGCCTTTGGAACTCCCCAGTCAGAATGCAGTAAAAATACACCAAGCCGACATTGGTGCCTATGACAATGCTTTCCGACGATGAAGACACGCAAGTGAATTCCAAGTCGAGAGTGGTCAGAGCATGTTGGACCTTTCTTGGAATATGGGAGAGGAAGAAGTCCATATCCCATTCTTTCAGGGCACAGTTTTCCTGCTTAGGCCCACCCGAATCCCCTCCTTCCTTTGAGTCTTGCGAGGCAGACGACATCACTTCTCTTGGTCTCAGGTGAAACTCACAGCGTATAAAAACTTGTCCCGATCCATGTGATTCCAGTCCTCACGTGGAACACAGAGCAATATAGGCGAATGGCGGAGCCATCTGTGGCAGGGATGCCACATCCTTTCCAGAAACGTGAAAAATAGCTTTTTCCATCAAAAAAAATAACGCAGCCTTCGTGCGGTCATAACAGACGTATTGGAAACTATAACGATCCCTTCAGCACATAATATTTTTCTCATCCCCAACCATATTCGAGCTCACTAACTCGAGCAACGTGTGCTTCAGGAGCTCCTCCGGATGTTGATGAAATAGATGAACTTGTAATTGCATAAATCTTGACGTGGTTACTTTGGACAAAAAATGCGAATTTTCTAATTAAAACCGCAGAAAGCACATGACTTCTAAGGCATCTAAATAGCGCGAAAAAGCCCAAAAATCGTGAAAATAATATTAGAAGCAGCACTGGAAATAGAACGCTGCCTGAAATTTTCGCACTAAAAACTGCATACACTGTTTTCGGATTGAATTGATACCACCCCAGGAGCGCTTCCATCAAGTACAAGTAGGACACCTTGCGGATGGAAGGTGAAGTACTAATACAACCATCCAAAACCGTGCGGAGCAGCAGGCTTGACATCTAGAGCATCGTCCGGAAAGTTTGTGTTTTCTCCGTTCTCCACAATAGGGGGGTACCAATTCAATCCGAAAACAGTGTAAAACACGAAGACCTCGCCAACTGCTCTCCGGTTACACGCTACTCCTTTCATGAAAACAATACGAGCGAATTAAAAGCATTCATTAATGATTTCACCCTACTTTTTTCCTCATTTGATTTCACCTGTGCGTGACGAAGTTTGATAATATAAAAAAGATGCACCGATACCGATTTTTACATGCTTCAAAAACAAAGACAGCGGATGTTTTCTAGCAAAAAGAAAAACCTAGAAGAAAGAGTTGAAAATAATTCTTGACTGGAAGGATCGGACTGAATTTAGTCTCTTTTTTTTCAAGAAGCCACTTGAATTATTGCTTGTCAGTGCATTCTTGTCAACGTTTTCGGGAATACTACCGGTTCGTCCTTCACTAAATGTTCACCATAAATCGCCGAGGTCGTGAGAGTTCTCTCGGAGACGCCGAGACTGCGTGTTTCAAAACGGGAAAGCCGGATGCGTGGAAAAATTCGGATCGAGTTTGAGCAGTGCGGTTTTTGACGAACTGGATGGGTTCACGCTCGATTCATGCGCGTTTCGCTTGTTTGGGCTCTATTCGGAAAGGTACAAATAAAATCCGAAAATGTTCCAAGTCAATCCAAATTGACTGCACTGTCCTGTAGTCGGGTTCTTTCCCGAGTGCGAGAATTTTGCACTAGGATGATGAATTTCTTTCCTTGGAAGGGCGAAAGATAATAAAAAAAATTAATCTAACAGGAACAACTAATTAAACAACTAATTCCAGAAGCGACAGAGACAGCATGACGCCTTCGCGCCAGATCCATGGATCTGGCGCGAAGGCGTCATGTGCACGTACACGTTCACACCTCAGAAACCTGACGTCGTCTGCTAGCATAAACGTCGCAGCCTCGTCATCGCCATTCGGAGGCTCGTCCAATGAGAACACGCCGCTCCCACGATCCGTCCAAGCCATCCAGCGACATCCATCCTCCATTCCGTCCGATGACGTCATCCTGCTCGCGACCCCAATTCCGACGCGGCTTCGGACGATTCCGATGTTTTATGGTTGCACACACGCGCATGTCTCGGATGCCTCACGTGCCTGCCCCCCCATCGAGAATCTAAATCAACTTAATTCTTTTCCGGTTCTTCAAAGGGACGTCCGACATTAATGGCTGATGACGTCCAGGCTGGAGTCACCGAGATGGGACGTCGTACCGGCTTGCGTTTCATAAGCTCGGGCATGGTAAGTGCTGTGAGATATTCGTAAAACACCGGAACAGGGTTCCCCATATTTGCTTTTAGGGTTGCCATAAAAACTTTATCTCTCAGGCATATGGACCAAATTTGCCAGAATCGCATCTCCCGCTCTACTTCGCAGAAAGGCAAAAAATAAATTCAAGAGCGATATAATTACTAATTTATAATTTCAAATAAGTTCAAAGAGATCCTTAACATAATTCTGAGACCAGCCGCTTCGAGATCCTCGGAGTCCTCAAACACCCTACGAGGCACGGATTAAAGAGAGATAAGTCGTATCGGACGGATTTCCGCCATCGCCCAACTGATATCCCAGATAAAGGTGAGTGCAGATGTTTGCTCCCGACTTCGTTTTTTGCTCGAGAGTGTGTATTGTAGATAAATGCCTTCCAGACTTTTGTTACTTGGGGGGTCGATTTTAAGTACTTCCTGGTACTTTGCGGGAGAGGACCGAAGCGAAGTGGAACGATAGTTTTTTTTTTCGAAACAAACGAGCTTCTATTGAAATAAAAGTGGGAAACTCCCGGTGTAGGACGTGAAACTTACTACCCCGTAGAATCCAATACCGCTGTGAAAATTTCTGAAATCACTACCATATTAAAAAATGGCGTACGCCGATACACAACCGTAGTAAAATCCGCGTACGCAGAACCCACTATTGCCACGCGAAAATGACTATTGCGAGCTGAGACTGTTTGCAATGGGCACTGTCAGTTTTCCACTCCAGGGTCAGGGTGGGAGATCACCACTTCCCTGAAACCTTGACCTCATCTGTCAGATACTTCTCAGTACAGGAATCGAAGCACAAAAGGACGGGCGTAAAGAGTAAAGTTGCACCAGTTCAGTGGTTCTCGTGTGAAGAAAACGTGTCTATGGAGAGATGGCTGACTATGGATTTGTGGATTTGAAACCAGGTGGACGTCCCTCCCGGTAGAAATCCATCAAAACGACCTCGTTGATATCACAGAAATAAAATATGCGAAAACAGAATTGTTCATAGAGGAGTCATTTTGATGTGGCCGTACGCTGCTGCAACTACCATAGTAGGATGGGCGAACGCAATGACCACTATGGTAGTTAAGTCAGATACGCAATATTGGTTGCGGTAGTCATAATTGGATAAGCGAGAAACGCTACGGTGGTCGGTTTTGACGGGAGTCAGATTCGTGTACTGCACCGGCGCGAATGAAAGTCGCATTCGTCAGCAGCATGGCAGACTGCTACGCTACTTCTCTCTTCAGAGAAGATACATCAGGTGATTTTCCGTTACAGACGATGTAGTGCGGGGACGGTTAAGACCAAAATAGGCAAATAGACCAAAACCGCACACATTCTGTCAAATGTGGCACGCGCTGCCGAAGCAAAAGACCCCCCCCCCCCCCCGTGATCGCCAGACTAAACACCCTGCTTAACATCGGCCAGATTTATTTCTGTGAAAGCAACTTAAAAACAATCCACGTCGTCGACCACCAACTGGCCGCTGATCATGCAGGAATTGAATAGCCATACCAGCGAAAACGTGCCGAAGGGGATGCAGACGCACGTGGGATCGTCTTTGTGCGTGTTTGCATCTTGAAACGCGGGAAGATCACGTGCTGCTTTTTTTTTTAATGCAGGGTTTAGTTACCATGAAGATGCATGGCATTGTTCCAAAGTTATCACTTTTTTTATGTGAGTTTGTGGGTGAGAAACGCCTTGAGATTCGCGCCGGCCAATCAAAAATCTCTGAGAAAAGAGAGATAAGGATTTGATGACTATCTATTTGGATGTGCGCGGACGGCAAGATGGACGTAAATGCCTCGTTATGTCCTAATCCGGATCTTAATCCGAATCTTTATCTGAGATCCTCGGATAAATATCTCCCGTTATTTCGGCCCCCCCCAGCGACTTCGGTCGGAATGCACGCCGTCGCGAGCAATTAGCTGGAATCTCGCCTTCGGAAAAGCAGGTTTCGTGGATCGCGTTCCCTTCGAATCCGCATCGGGACTCCCCGCCGTCCGTTCTTCAAATTCGTACAAGGTTGAAATTCCTTTTCGTGCGGTTCCAGGACGAGAAGCGATCGGTCGGAAATGATGGAAATTTGTGGTAAAGACGGCAAAAAAATCTTGAAGACTTAAAATCGAGGATCCGAGCGGACTTCTCACCTCACCTCACCTCTCCGCAGCGAGCTCAAGACTGATGGAAGAAGAGAAATCGCATAATTCTCTGGACTCGAATGGAGTTGAGCGGGTCTCGGTCATCCGCTGCTCTCCCCTCCTACCTCCCGCCTTCCCTTCCTACCCCCCTTCGGGTCTCCCTGCCATTCGGGTCGGGGAAGTCGAAGACGGCGGTGCTTCGCGGTCGAGGCTTTCTTCACGCTTTCCTCGCCCTTCAAACCTCTTTGGGGATCGGGTGCACGCGGGAAATAACGATAGGAGACGGCTCCGTTTCGGTGATCGGAGACGATTTTGGTTGTCTTAGGGCATTTTTCGTCTCGATGCGAAAAAAGAGCGCGCCGACGTGGAATCCGAAAAACCGAAGCTGCATTTGCCATTTTAGCTAGGACGCCGCAGGTGAGGCTCACCCTTTCGTATGGAGTCCTCACGTGAGGACAGTGAGCGGTTCCACAATACTCGTCCACGTGTGGCACGAGCGCTAAAAACTGCGTCTCCGAACGACAGAAACTAAGAACATTTAGTCCATTTACAAGAAGTTCAAAGAACCTCTTCAAGTGACGTCCGACTTCTGCATTACTTGGTGCATTACCTGCATTACTTGGCATCGCATTTCGGACATGCGAAGCCCATGGACCAATCCCTCCGGATGCGAATTGAGTCTGGCTCAACAGCAGATGAATTTCGCGGCGACTAAAGCTCTTCTGCGCTCTCTTCACTCCCAGTCAAAATTAATCTTCCAATTAGAATTCATTATTACGATACCAGGAATTTAAATAAAACGTTCAAACATTTCCTCTCCAGTTCAGGCAATCGAGAATTAATTTTTTTTCACGAAGGCTGTCGATAGAAAAGACCCGCGATGTCTTGTTTGCGTTTGGGCAAGGGAGAAACGACGCTCTGG